GGCCTACTGGGTGGGCGTGGATGGAGTGGGTGTGGCCTACTGGGTGGGCATGGCCAGCTCTACATCGTTCGTGTCAAGGGTGCCTGTGGGGGCCTGGGCAGGAGTGGGACAGATCTGAGGGTCTCTGGCAGAAGGGGGTGGGACCGGGGCAAGCGCCAAGGCATGGTCCATTTCTTCATTCCTCACAAAGGGTGACACCTCCCCAGCATGAACCCAAGGGGCGGGGCCGACACAGCAGGGGCTGGTTCCTCGCTGTTTCTAGACGGCCTTCTGGAGCTAAGACTGAATGCGTTTCAGCATAGATGGCCACCACAAAATTGTACATTGGCTCCTGGCCGGCCTGGGCCAGGGCCAAGGCAGCGGGAGCCGTTTCCTCACTGTTTCCAGAATGGCTTCGCGGGCCACATGAAACCACTTCACGGGCCGCATCCCGCTCCCGGGCCTTGTGTGACATGTCTGGCCTAAAGTCACCCAGCTGGTTTCAATCCTAAAGTGGCACCTTAACTACTATTCTTGCTTAAATTCTGTTGTGAATATATACTGTTAGCTTTGCCATTGCTGTATCCCTGCTTTTGACCACTCCCTTCTACTTCAACTTATTTTATAAGGCTTAACAGCACTTTAACTACAGAGTCTGAGAGGGTCTTGGTTGGATACAAAGCAACTGGAGGACAGCATCTGATTGATCTATACCAGGGATAGTCAACCTTGGCTCTTTTATGACTCGTGGACTTCAACTCCCAGAATTCCTGAGCCAGCTGTGCTGGCTCAGGAATTCTGGGAGTTGAAGTCCACGAGTCATAAAAGAGCCAAGGTTGACTATCCCTGATCTATACTGATCTGTACCCAAAAACTGAATAGTTTTAAGCTGCAGCTCGGAAGAACGGTTCCTCCATTCCACTGCCCATAGTCAAAACCAAGCCAACAGTTTTCCTGTGTGACTTGGGGCATTTTTTATTTTTTTTTGTAAAGCCCGATTCTCCCTATGGAAATGAAATGGGAATTTGGCAAAAGGAACGCTGAGTCCTTGCTTCTTAACCTTTTCTATTTGATTTGGCCCCGAAAAGACAGAGATAAAAATGAACATTGTTAGAATACTTAAGCTCTCTTGCCAGATGGGAGGGGTGTACTGGGATGCATTTCAAAGGCCCGTTTGAAGTATTCGAGTTTGAACTCTAGAGGGCACTGAAGGACATCAGACAAAACTGATTAATTTGACTGTTAAACAAGAGTACAGTCTGAGTTTGTATATTTTTTTTAAACCCATCCTGGATTACCATGGGGTGTGGCACCCTTAAGAAATCAGCTTGCATTGGCCAGCAGAGGAAAACAGAGACTAGTAAAAGCAGGTCTTTGAGTCTGGGGTTTGTGTATGACAGATTGCTGATGGCAGCAAGATGCAGGCAGCTGAATGCATATTTGATGACAGAGCGCATTCCAGGGAAGAATAGCATACAAGATAAAGATGGGACATGACCCACTGTCTAAGATAAGGGTGCCAGAGGAGCTGTGGAATGTATCGGCCCCTTCTGACATTTTTATAGATTCCTTCAAATCATTCTCTGCACGCATAAAGGGCTGGCTTACAATTTGTGGGGCGTGGGGGGGGGGGGGGGGCCCAGCCTGTGGTTTTCAAACTTTCCCAAATTACACTTTGTGGCATCAGCTTGTTCAGAATTCCTTGGGCAATTCTCTTACTGTTTGACTCATTGATATTAAGACATTTGATAGTTATGGACCAATAAGATTTGGGTATTTGCAAGAGAAGGTGAGGAAATCACCATTCCTATTTGGCTGTGTTGTGTGGGTATTTAGCATTGTGCTGCAGAAGTGCAGAAATTTAAAGACATAACAAATCTATTTATGCATGCGTGCATTCATATTTGGAGCTAAATGTTTTTTGCAAGCTGCTGTGGCTGTTTTTTGACTAGCTGAGGCTGTGACGTTGCATAGAATAAATAGTACAGGATAGGATAGGCCTCAGTGCTCAGATCCGCCCGATGAGAAGCAGAACTGTGCAAAGAAGGTTTGTGTCTGATTTCACACTCTTGTTTTTAAAGTTGATAGTGTTTTCCTGCTTCTGACAATCTGCCTGACTCTTTCCTCTGACTCTTGTGTACATCATTAAAACGAGCTTAAGCATAAACGGCTCTCCAAAATTGCCTTTAAAATCAGGGGCAGAAAAAAATTGGATGGATAATTTCTCTGGACTGTTCCAGGGCAAAGATAAATTCTCTGAGGATTGCTCAAGATATGTCTCCCTCTTTGTGGTGATAGCACAATTTCTGAAAATGCCGTGGGAGGGAGTTCCGGCATGATGTTTTCCCTTGGGATCGAATTGAAGTGTGGGAAGCCAGAATAGCTTTAAATCACCAGAGAGATGATTGTACAATGAAAGACAGGACGTTATACACATGTCCCTTAGCTACTTTTTAGCTAAATCAATGAAAGAATACCATATTGCACCTATGAGAATTTCTTCAAAACTTTCTTTTTAAAGCATTTCCAAATCAAATTATTTTTCATTAGATTTTATGAAAATAGATAGTACAAAAATAGAGGGGATTATCTCTGTTTGGTACTAGATAAAACCATTGTTAGGGAAAAGTGGAGAAAAATCACTCAGTATGTTAGCAACATTTCCAGAATTATAGCTATATATAATAGTATTAGTTACTGAATCAAAAATGGCAATTTTGGTCCAGAAATAGCCAAGGAGTGAAGAAAGAGCTGCTTAAAAGCTTATTTAATCATAACTGTCAGAGATTATCTTCCTTAGCCTTTATCCATTCAATAAGCTCCGTAACACTCTGAACTTGGGATGCCAGGACTTCTGATAAAATTCAGAAGTAAAAGGCAAGCATGTTTCTCTACACCTACACATATCATATCACAAAAGCAGGCTAACTCATCATCTCTTTTGAAGGGCTTCCTTTCAAAGAATGATAGTGTCCCATTTAGACTTAAATAAACTTTAGCCTTCTATCTTTACTGAGCAATTTTAAATCCTATTCATTCCAGTTGTGGAAAAACTATGTATTTTAAAAATTAGTTCTATTACTCTGAAAAATACATCATTTTTTACTTGAAGATCTCTTTGTGCTTAATAAATAGCATGAACTTAATTCAAAATTGATTTGATAATCCAAAACAGGTTTCCTGGTCCTCTAGGAAAGAATCTTCCCCAGGTTGGTCTCTTCACGTGTGTTGTGCTGCAACTTACAGCCTGTGCCAGGTGACCACAAACCTGGAGGGCACCAACTTGGGGAAAGCTGCTGGTTAGAATGACCAAGCTGGGATGGATTTACTAACATCTCTGAGTTAGAATATTTTTATTCCTTTATAGAAGTTTTTACATAAACTGGACTTTAAAGATGTTTTCTAAAATGAAGTTCAATACTGCTAAATTTTCAGGGAACTTTCTAACAGGAAGAATTAATCATTCACCTTTCAACGGTACCCTTTGTTTTAATGTTTGCTTTGCCTCTGGAAATGATGTTCACAGGTCAGTGGAGCTTAGCTATTATTGTGCTTATGCCTTTTCTTTTGTGCTCTTGTTCTTAGGTGTCAGCTGTACCCACTGTCTTAGCCATGAAGAATGGTGATGTGGTGGATAAGTTTGTGGGAATCAAAGATGAAGATCAATTAGAAGCTTTTCTCAAAAAACTCGTTGGACCCTGAACAGCAAGGACAGTTGTGTTCCCTGAGCCAAGGCTTTTTCCATTTGTCCTTTTTTTTAAAAAAAAAAAATGTTTCCTTAGAGGGGAATGGAAGAAATTGCATAGTTGGACTAGCATCTGTTTTTTTTAAAGAGAGTGGATGATGCCTACTTCCTCCTTCTTCTGGGGGAGTGGTCCTAGTTCCTACAGCAGTGGAAAGGCTGATTGCTCTGTGATAGAGAAAGACTGGAGGTTGATGCCTGCTAGCAGATGCCCGATGACAAGAAAGTTTTCCTAATATAGCGGCCTCTTCTTAATGTACTTTCTCATACATATTGGAGACACTTCCCGTTCCTGTCCAATGTAAAACCAATGTGGTTAATTATTGCTGCTTATGGCAGCAGTTGTTCTGCTTCATTTTCTGCAGCTTTCCTCCTTTGTTTAATGGTAGATTAAAATCATTTGAGTTTTTGACGGTAGCCTTAGTGCCTCTCCTGCTGTCATCAATTAAATTGAGAAAAACATTGATTGATTGGAGCCTTTTTATTAGTAGATCTATAATAAAAAATAGCTGTAATTATTCCATTTTCTTTTGGTATAGAATTCCCCTTCTGCAGAAAAATTAAAGTTGTTCAATATAGCTTGAATGGTATGGAGTTGAATAGAGAATATGAATAAGGAAGAGTTTTGTATTGATTAAAAAAAAAAAACTTCACTAGTCCACAGACACAAAGCCTCTTGTGAGAAAAGACTGTCCCTTCTTTTTTACCTAAGCATTTTATCTCCAAACATATTGGGTGAAATCAATGCAGTAAAAGTGCTTTTTTAAAAGAACTAATGAAAGAAAATACTTTTTCATGCCACTTTCCATTTATTTTTGAATTTATTCTCTAGAAATGATAAATCAAGTCAAATGTTTTAATTTCAGGCCAGATGTCCAATTTGTTTAGATTTTGCTATGGATGTTTTACATTTTGATAAATCTGTGGGGGGAAAAACTGCTAGATTGTAACATTAAAGGAATTAGTTAAGCTTCCTTTATTGATTATAAGGAAGCTGAGCAGAAAAAAATCATTTTTTCTTCTTTAACAAATAAAGTAACTGGTAGAAAGTTTATGAAGTGTCCTTGTTCTACACAACCGTATAGTCTTTGCATTTTAAATATTAAGGAAATTAAAAGAAAAAAATCCAGCTGCTTGGTGCATCTAATAAATTCAATTTTATCCTTATTGCTTCGACTTTTAAACCATACGTCAAACTTCAGCTGCTTATGGGTAGAATCTGAACTACCATGGATCTACTGAAAGTGAAATGCTTCAGTTTGTTTCTGTGTCATCTGAGATGGAATTTTTTTACACCCCTTCCATTACTCAGCAATAGAACATGATTAGAAATATTTTAGTATTGGTCATAGAAACATGAGAATGATCAGAGATTGCCTTCACACATTACTATAGAGCAGTGTTTTCAACCATAGCAACATTAAGATATCAAGTCCAGTTCTCAAAATTTTGCAGCCACTATGCTGAGAAATTCTAAGAGTCCAAAGATCTTAAATTTACTAAGGTTGAGAAACATTGCTATAAAGGATAGTGTGATTTGTTTGGATTTAGGTTACTGTATTGTTTGAAACCAGCCTTATATTATGTAAATGAGTGGGTGATCTGTGGCTTACTGTGCTTTCAAACCCAGCCAATAGTTTATTTAGCAAATCATGGCAGAGAGTGATAGGTCAACCATATCAGTAATTAAACAAGAAATTTATGAAGACTCTTAACACTGACCTTTTTGTTGATAGTTGCCCTAAATTAGATTGGCATAATGTTTTAAACAGTCTCAAAATGGAAGTAGATTTTACTCTATTTCTGCCTTGTACTGTTACATATTTCCCATAATAACAAAGATATTAGTCTGTGCCAGGATAATGCATAAATATGGCTCCTATTGGAGAACAGGATGTTCTGTGAGCTTGTCATCAATCCAATAAAGCTATTCCAAATCTTTATTGCAGAAGTTCAGTAAATTATTGGGAAGTTCTAGTCTGGAATTAGCTTGTTGTACCACTTTGGCCTTCAGGTCATAGCTGATGCTCTGAATGCATCAACAGAGATGAAATAGGTTAAGACTTTAAATCAGGGACAACTAAGAAAAGGCCCCAAAGTTTCATGCAGTCCCATGGATTTATTTAATAACCCCTGGAAGTGTATTTCTGAAACTGCTAGCGTGTTTTCCACTATTTTCAAATAGGAAATACACAAATACTACCAGTATACTCTATATAGGTTAGTACAATTAACCAAAGCTCATTTTATGAGATTTTTGGAACTTCCTCTAAAGGTACAAAAAAGTTATAGGATAAATTTGAAGATGTAGTCTTTTCCCAATCTGGTTTATTAATTGTCCACAGTTTTTCACTCTGAAAAGCTGTCAGAACAGTTTGTAAACTAATTTTTTAAAAGGTGCTCCCTGCCTTGAAACCTGCCTTCTAAAAAAAATGCACAAGGTCTCAGTTTTACAACAAAAGATAAGGTTAGTTGGAGTTTCAGCTGGGTTTTACAGCAAATCCTATGTTAAGCCATATGTTTATAAAGGGCAATTTAAGCTTTTAGACTGTAGATGGTTGTAAGCTTTAGAACGGCTATTTTTTGTTTTCACTATAATTGAACGTAACTCCTCTCAGCTATTTTTCTGTTCCTGATCATTTTTTTTTGCACTTCTTTGGCTATTAAGTGAGTATGACTAGTCCACTAGCCAATAAGTTAGCCAACAGTAAACAACAGCCCAATCAAGGAGCCACCAAGAATACTCCCACCAAAGCTGAACAGGGCAAATCACTTGTATATAAACAGAGAGCAAACCCCACTCCCTTCTAGCCGTGATGACATTACCTAGTTGAGTAATGAAATGCCTACAAGAAAACAACTAAGCTCAGAGAACACCAAGGACCCTGTTAGTGCATGCACTTGCCACAGCCATCCTTTTGTAGAGGCATCTCACTTAGAACATTGTTTCTTAACCTCATGCTGGCTGGGGAATTCTGGGAGTTGGACTACACATATCTTAAAGTTGCTGAGGTTGAAAACTACTGACTTAGAACCTGAAAAACTAAATTGAATGGTTTGCTATGCTAGATACATCAGTTACAGCTATCCCTCTGAAGTCCTTGGTGCTCTCTGACTTGGTTTTCTGTAGATGTTTCATTATCTGGCTAGATAACATATTCAGTGCTAGAAGGAAGTAGGATTTGCTCTCTGTTTATATACGGTAGCTTGCCCTGTCAGAATTGGTTTGATTTTGTAATATGTTACAGGCATATATATATAGATAAACTACACATCATTCAAAAGAGAGGATAAAGCTAAAAAGGAAATAAAAAGACTAGAAAGCTGCCTCAACAGCAATCAACACCCAGAAAAACAGGGATTATCACCAGACAGCAGTCAAGCAGTAAACAAGCTACAAACTCAAGAACTCAATTTAGTGTTTCTCAACTTAAGGTTGAGAAACACTGCCTCAATTTAAGTAAACATACTATGTTGACTTCAATTTTAATACAGGAAGAATAATGTAGTTAGTGGCCATTAGGAAAATTAAGAATGCTCCTTGCTTTTTTAAATTCTGTCAAGGTATCTTTAATACCAATACAATTATTTTGTTTAAAATTTTATTAAAAACCTGCTTCTAGATTTAAACTAATGGAAACAGAGGTGACTCAGTAGCCCCCCTCCCCAGAAGAAAAATAGCAAAACAGCACTGGTTGTACAGTGAAATACTGACTTCAGCACCTCCAAAGTTGGGTCTTGAAACATTTTACATTGCTGCTTGGATCTGTCCTTTCAAGAAACCCTTAAAAGCTTGATATTGTATGTGGAAAGAAGGGACATAGGTCTACTTCTAATGAACAAATTCAGGGGAAAAAGAAATATAAAAACAAATGCTGGAATAGCGTGACAGTCACCAATAGAAGAGAACACAGTTTGGTGTTGAACTGTGAAGTCCTTGGTGCTCTCTGAGCTTGGTTGTTTGATTGCAAATGTTTCATTACCCAATTAGGGAACATGCGTGCTAGCAAGTGTGTCAGAAAGCATACATAGTTTAAAAGAGCAAGGAATTTTTAACTGGTGTTTTCTTCATTTTCCTCCTTCGCAGCTACTAATTGCATTATTCTTCTTTATTAAAACTGAAACCAACACTGTGTTTACTTAAATTGAGGTAGTATTTCTCAGTCTTAAATTGCCATAGTTAAGAACCACTGAATTGAAGGGCTGAGTTCATAGGTCACAATGCAAAGGGGCAGGCAATCTGCAGTCACTGGGTCAGTTTTAAACCAATTGGCCAAGAAATCAGTTCAGGCATTTAGAAGTAGAGTCCCTTCCACTTTGCTGAAGGACAGAGAGAAAAAAAGGAGGGGAGGATACCAAAATAGAGGAAAGGAAGGTCTTGCCTTTGGCAGGAATGATGTGACCCCCTTCTGTGAGGAAGAAAGAAGCAAGAATAAAACAGAGGATGCTACACACATTTTGGGGCCAGCCTTACTCATTCCAGGTTTTCAGAGCTCCCAGTGAAGACTTCTGTGTGAATGTGACTCAAGTTGGAAAACATATTCCCCATCAAAGTTTTAATGTATCCACAGTCCCTTCTGCAAGGTTTGTTGTTTTGCCCTCAGGAGGGAAGTGTAAATGATTGAATCGGGGCCGGAGAAAGCTCCCCCGCAACCTCCTTACCCATTAGCACTTTAAGGAAATACATACGTTTCCCAGTTTGCAATCTGGTAACTTGGCTCTGATTGCAGAGTTTCAAACTTAGGGACATTTTTATAAAAAAGGAAATGGTAGTCTGGAAAGAGAGTTGGGTAATATGCTTGAAGGGCCATAAAGAAATATGAAGACACATGTAGTTCCTTTATTATCTTTATTTCCCTCTTTGACAAGCGTTTTCAGCAGACTATGAATCTATTCCCTAAAATAATGAGGATTAGAAACTTAAGAGTCCTTGGATAAATAGTATATTCTATGCTTGTTCACTGCAAAGTTGCATCAGGCCCATTTCCTGCCTGCAGCAAAGAGAGGTATTGTCGGAATGTGCAGGAAAAAGCTGGGAGGAAGAACAGGCCTGCTATATTTCTACAAGGGCTAACTTTTGTGCCATGCCATAAACACAGAACAGGAAAAAACAGCTGTAGGCACTATGACTTTGCATTGTGTATTTAAAAGCCTGCATAAATTGGCTCTTTTATCATTTCCTTCCAAGACTCTGGGGCTTGGGTGGTATTGTGCATTATCAGGACAAATTGGAGATTTACTGGCAAAACTTAATGTGAGCATCATTTACAACAGCCACCTTTGCATATACTTTTCAGATGAGGTTGCACTGCCTGAGTGTTCATATTTCCAAACATAAGCAAATTACCTTGAACACTCAACTTTTAAATGCTTTTTGAAAGTTAATATTAAAGAGAACTTTCACTTGTGTGAAAAGGAACTGCTATGGTCACAAGTTTATTTCTACTACGCAGAGAAAGAACATAGTCATATTCTCAGGTCTTGACAGAAAAAAAATTGATTTGATACTTGGCTTTATTGCTACCGTATGTATTTCCTGTAGAAGATCTTACAAAATAATATTTCTCAACTTGGGTTGCTTTTGCTTTTTCGTTACATTACTTCCTTGTGTATATTTTAGCATAAATAACATTCTGTAACTTCTGTTCACAGTGAATTCTGAGGATTGGCACCAACAGGATTAGCATCCAAACTGAACTGTGGAGAAACCAGAGAGGTTTTGGAGTACATTTATGACATTTCCCTCCTTGTCTCAATTTTGCAGTGGTTTTAAAGGGAAAAATATCTCAGTGACACTTGAGTCTGCTCAGTAGGCCCCAAATGTTGAACATGTGATTATTCTGAAAAGAGAAATGTCACAGGGTGAGATGACATTTCCTCCATAAGCTCCAAAATTCTGGAATAAAAAGTAAGAAGATGGTCCTTTATTTTGCTTTCTGTCCCATTTCTTTTCCTTTAGTGACAAACTCAGTTTGGAAGCATAGCAAGACCATTCAAACATGATACAGTTTACAAGTTTGTAAATGAAAAGAAAGACATAAATTCCAATTTT